AGATTTCTCTCTCTTATTATATCTCTTTTATCTATTCCTCGGAAATCTCGACGAGATTAACGCGTACTCGTTCCTTAAGTACTCGCTAACTCGATCGTCGATCTTCTATCGAACGAGAGGGATTATAAGGACTCTCTAAGATCGAGTTAGTACTCTTAATTCTTAACTCTCGGCCGGTTAAGATCTCGTATAAGATAGCTATTACTATTAGTATCTCTTACCGTCGCGAGTCTACGCGCGATTTAAGAATCTCGAAGAAAAAGAGGCGACGGACGAGTATATCTATCCGATAGTCGTAAAGAGCTTTATCGCGATTATTAAGCTCCGTCTCGAGATTAGCGATAGACGGCTCTTTTTAGACGCGTTAAGAGTCGGGATTTCCGAACTTCGCGGTTAGAGGTAAGATTCTATAAGGGTCCTAGACTACTTTCTTAGGCCTACTAGGTTATATAGAACAGACGCTATCCAGATCTATTAGATATTAAACGACCTTAGTATCGTAAAGGTCGTATAGACTCGGGAGAATATTAAGGATAAGAGCGGGCGTAAGCGATATAGAATATCTACTTAATAATATATAATTACGGCCTCGAACGGACTAGAGTGAGAGTTTATAAAGGTCGAATCGCGTCTCGGATAGTTCGAGCTCAGTATCGCCTTTATATTAGACCTCTAGTTTAATTTATCGATAGGGATTTCGGATAAACCTAAAGGAGCTAGCGAGATAGGAGAGAAATAGAGAAGATAGATTAGGACTATACGAGAACGGTCTCGGCTCTTTCGACCTAGCCCTTTAAAATAATAGGGTTCGCTCTCGTGAAGAACGAGCTACGTCTCGGATAGTTCGAACCTAGTATCGTCTTTATCTTAGACCTTTAATTCCACTCCTTAGTTAAGCTATATCCGGTCTAATACGTACCGGGCCTCGGAAACTCCGTCCCTCCGTTCAGAAAAGATAGAGTATATAGATCTTATATTATATAACTATAGCCTCGTAAAAAGCGAGGCGCGTAAATTCACGTCAAAATCCCCTTTTTAACGGGGCTTTATTCATCTCGTTTTTTACGAGACTACTCACGTAAAATAAGAGTATAAGGAGACTCTATATAGTCTAGAGGAGAAAGCGAAAGGTCGTATAAATAGAGTTAAAGTACTAAAGTCCTCTATCGAAAAAGTCGAGTAGTACTCCCACACGAATAGAGTCGAAAAAATTGAGTAGCACTTAGGGTCGATAAAATCGGGGAGTACTCCGGTACGAATAGAGTCGATAAATTTAAGTAGCACTCCTATACGAATAGGGTCGATAAAATCGAGAAGCGCTCCTACTCTAACTTACGAAAACGCTAAGATATCTAGTCTAGGACTAGATATATATATCTTCGATTTGATTTTTTCAATCTTCCTTCCTTTCTATTACTTACTACTTACTATTAGGTCCCGCTTTCTAGTTAATACTCCTTCTTTTTCGAGACTTCGGCCTTTTTTTTTAGTCGCTATCTCGGATAGCTAAGTCGAAAAAAACGACCTACTCTTCCTTTCGTAAATATTAACTAACGCGAGTCTAGTCTCGAGAATCTCTAGTATCGCTTCGAAGAAATCGACTACTATATCTAAAGTTACTAAAGCCCTAAAAAAAGTAAGCGACTAGCTTAGTAAGGGCTAGTCGAACGAATCGAACGACGATACGGAAGATACGGTCGAGCCCTCGCTTTTTCCGTTCTTCTTCTCGATAGAGACGAGCCTAGAGCTAGAGACCCCTAAAAAGACGAAGAAACCTAAGGCGCCTCTAATAGCCTATATATCTCCGGCTACTACTATAGAGGAGGAGAAGTAAGTCTCTAATTCCTCGAAAAGAACGAGAATTGACTCGAAGAAATAGAGCTATAGTTAAGAAATAGCGAGAGGAAGAGTACGGCCGCCTAGAGCGTCCTATAATCACTAGTAAGTCTAGCCTTCGGGCCCGACTCGAGTAGATTCTTTTTTTTCGAGCCCCGATCCGATACTTTTTTTTTTTAACTAAATTCGATAACGGATTCTCTCGTTTTTTTCGAGCTAAAGTCCGCTAATCGTCGTTTTTTCCGATATAGAGCTCGTTTTTAGCGAGATAAGAGTAACCTTAAGGTCTAAACTAAATATTAGAGTTACTATAAGGGAAATAAGGTATTTTCGAGGCGTTACTCGTAAAAAGCGACTAGACTAACGAAAAATTCGAGCCGGTTATTAAGACTAATAAAGATAGTAATCCTAACTCTAGTAACGCCGACGGCACTAAGTCCGCTCCCCGCCTAGTCTACGGGTATCTTATAGAGATAAAAACGAGCCTCCTATCGATTCTTTCGACTACTAACTCGAAAAATAGTATATATTGATCGAAGAAGTCCTAGTTATCTTCGATATCTACCTATACGACCCTAAGTCTACTAAGGTTAGAGAATTTCGAGTCCTATCTCGGAAAAAACTAACGGAAGTAGGAGTAAAACTAAGTCGTCGGTATTATCGATATCTATCGGGCTAACTATATTAAGGTTAGATTTTAATAACTCTCGGTTCGAAAAAAACTAACGGTTCTAGTTCTTTAAGATATTAACGGTTAAGACTAATAAAGCTAAGAACTAGAAGGTAAGTTCGAGAAATCCGAGTCTACTCTCGAAAAAGACTAATATAGACTTAGTTTAAGATTAAGGTCCTCTTTAAGTAGCTCGAGAGTAACGAATATATAACTATCTAATCCTAGATTTTTCTAAGTTATAACTTAACTTTTTCGACTCCCTCTATACTCGAGAATTTCGAGTAAAAAGTCTCTTTACTATATATAGCGTTAGTAGATAGCTATTTCGTTTTTTTCGAGCTAAAGAGCTCTTAGCTATATATATAAGAGAAGATAGATCTAGATCGTTTTTTTCGAGATAAGATACTACTAAGCGGGCGAAATTTGGATAAGTACTAGGATATTCCGACTATAGAGTTGACGAATTCGACTATATAGTCGATAGATTCGACTATAGAGTCGAGTAATACGAATAAATAATTATTAAACTAAGACTTAGCCCCGAAAATTCCGACCGTAGACCCGAAAAGAACGAGACGCGGTAAATATACGTTAAAATAAATATAAGTCCGTACGAACCGAGACTAGTCTCAAAAAGTTCGAGCCTAAGATTATAAGGAAAAGAACTCCGCGTATAATAACTTTAACTCTACTACTCTATAATCTAGAATTAATTTTATATTAATCTAACTCTTAATATTCTCTTCCTATTTCTATCTTCTTATCTTTAATATATAACTCTCTTAACTCTAAGTTTTATTATCTTTATTCTTTTAATCTTNTATAGAAAGAGAGTAAGAGAAGGATCCGATTAATATATATTTTAGAGTATTTATAGCGCCGGAAGGGTTAGAAGTCGAGCGTTAAAGGGATATAGACTAGTTCTAGGACCGATTATATTCGATAATAGACTCGATTATAAGCTAGCGTCTTTCTACGGGAAATACGTCGAAATATTCGGCTAGAATTCGTACTAAGATTGATCCCGTAACCTTAATTTTGTATATGTTTCGGTCAGAATTCACCGGAATATAGTAGCTAGGCTCTCGCTTAACGGACGACTTGAAGTCTCTCTTGAGGGACGATCAAAGGCTCTCGCTTAACGGACGACTGAAGTCTCACCTGAGAAACGATTAAAGACTCTCGCTCAACGGACGACTGAAGGCACTCGCTTAACGGACGACTGAAGGTACTCGCTTAACGGATGACTAAAGCCTCACTTGAGAGACGACTGAAGTCTCACCTAAGGAACGATTAAAGGCACTCGCTTAACGGACAACTGAAGTCTCACCTGAGAAACGATTAAAGGCACTAGCTTAACGAACGACTAAAGTTATAGCGACCGCTACTATTAAGCTACACCTACTATAGTAACCAATTGGGATACCTTATAAGTCCCGTATAATATACGGAACTTAGTTAGCGAATAAGATCGCCGTTCCGACTGATCTAGGAGGCCTATACTCCACAGCCGTAATACTAACGCGTAAAATATCTTCTTCGTCGGAGTGAATATTAGTCCTAGTGTATAGTATCTAGTGTCGGTAGCTAGTATTAGTACTACGATTCTTTTAAGGTTAGTTAGTGGAGGCCACACTACGATAGAGTACACTATACTACTACGGTGGAGTATATTAAGCTTTAAGCGAAGAAAAATTCAATCTCGGTCCCTAAGATAATAGTACCCTATCAAAATTAGAACTCTTCTAATATCGATCGTACGGTAATAAACTAAGTAGTATCTAAGAGAGCTCGCCGAGACGAGTACGGGGATATAATTATTATCCTTAATATCCTCTAGGAAGACTAAATATTCTACCGTCAAAGTTTCAAACATTCCGCGGTCGGAGTGGGCTTTTTCGCCCTTTCTAATTGGCCCTTTCAAACATTTCACGGTGTAATGTTTGGGTCATTACTGATAGGACGTCTTATCTAATAAAAGGAATTCCGTCCTCTAGAGAACGCCTTCTTAATCGTAATCTATCAAAAGGATTTCGTCCTCTAGAGGACGCTCTCTTAATCGTAATCTATTAAAAGGATTCCGTCTTCTAGAGGATATCTTCTTAATCGTAATCTATCGAAAGGATTTCGTCCTCTAGAGAACGCTCTCTTAATCGTAATCTACCGAAAGGATTCCGTCCTTTAGAGGATATCTTCTTAATCGTAATCTATCGAAAGGATTCCGTCCCCTAGGGGACGCTTTTAATAAATAAAGAGAGAGATTTAGAACTAATATAGATATTCTACTCCTAAATTACTATTTCTAGGAAATTTCTAGGCCTAACCTAAGGTCCCTAGACTGTTTTTCCCCTATAGTATAGGAAGAGTCCGACTATATACCTGTATATTATATAGGGAGGTAATGATAGCTCCTGATTAGACAGATAGAGTAGAGCGCCTTTTACTTATCTTTAAATGGATAACTATAACTAGTATCGTCTTCTATAGCCGTATGCGTATCTATATAACCTAAATAGTGTCCCCCTATCGTCGTATATCGGTTAACTATAGTATTAATATCGCGGTAAGTATAGCCTTCGACAAGGAGGGAGAAGGCTCCGGGAAGTCGTCTTCTCGATCCTAGTAGGAGAGGTAATCCTAGGTGGCGAGGGCGACACTCTCTAGTCGAGGGAGAGACGGTAGTGAGAGCGATAGTAATCTCTCCGGGCTATCGATCGCTAGATATACTAGTCGTACTAATAGCGGTAAAGGATAATCTCAATAGTTAACCCCTAAAGGACTACTAAAACTATAATAGTTATTATCCTACATGATATTACCGCCTACGCGATAGATATTATTATCGCGGTTATTATCGCTCTCTCGGTTAGAGTAGACTCCGTCGTCGCTCTCTCGCGGACCGAGATAACTATTACCCGTACCTATGGACGGCGAGACGAGAGCGCTCGATTCTCTTACGGGGACCCGTTAAGGCGTAGTAAAGAATCAATCGAGACGAGTTTAACCCGCTATAATCGGGACCTAGATCTCCTCGGCGGTAATAGCCCCCTCTCTAAGGAGTTTCTATTAATACTCTCGCCGTTATATCTCCTCCTCCCGCGCGCGTCGGCGACGTTCGCTCTAGCTTACCTACCTTTTATATCGCGCTCTCGCCTACTTATCCCGGTCCTATCTCCGCTAACGGCGCGCGTTAGTAACGTTTAGTCTCTCCTATCGCTATCGTACTCTCGCCTCCCGTAATGTTATAGTAGGGAGGTTAGAGCGATAGATATAGAGTAGTATAATCTCCGGCGGGGGGAGGGGGTAAATCCTCGGGCGAGAGACGAGTAGTTAGGGGTATTCGAAGAGGAAAGAGTGAAGAGAGAGAAGAAGAACGAGAGATATAGGGGATCGAGAGGACTTTATAGTTATAAGTACTATTCTCGTACGGTCCTCCGTTATCGGGTTAGGTAAAACTAGTCGAGTTATTTACCCTCTCGACGCCTATTATATCTATAATAATAGATTAAGAGTCCTATAATAGGATAGTTATATATATATATTCATATCGGTATAGTATTAGCGGCTAGTATTAGGTCAATCAGAATCCCGTCCCCACTAGAATAATATAGATATAAAAGAGTATAGCTACTACCGACCGCGGTAGTATTTTATATCGTCTCCTACTATTATAGGTCGTGAGAGCTCTCTCGTAACGCTATCGCCTACGGCCGCGAGATCACGCTCTTACCTCGGTAGTCTCGATTATCTAACCTCCGCCGCTCTATCCTATATCGACTCTCTCCTTACCCGATAAGAGGATAATCTACCGACGGTATAGTATCCCCTAGACGATACTATAGAGCTTAAGTATATTTAGTAGCTACTAGACTATCAACTATAGAAGCTTAAGACCGAGCTTTAAGAGCCGTCGGTCACTCGTCAAGGCCTACGTACTCTAGCGTTTAGAGTCTACGCTCTAGGTCTCCTAGAGATAAGCCTATAGCGGGGGGGTCTAGAACGCGACCTTAATAATAAAGCTAAGCGTACCTAAGAGAGTATAGATATCTAAGAACGGCTAGTCCCCCGGCGGATAGATTATATTAGTCGGTTTGAGAGGGAGAAGATAGTTATAGTAGAGTTAATAGCGATCGGATAGCGGTAGGAGAGCTCTCTTCTACCGTAGCTAGATCTAGTCGACCCGGTACTAGACCGCGGACGGACTCTCCTCTCGCGAGACCGTCTCGTTAAGAGAGACGAGCGTAAGCTAATATAGATACTCTCGAGTATTATAGACGTATCTCGCGAGTAGAAGACCCGTTATCTAATAGCGGTAGTAGAGAGAGCCGTTCGTCTAGATCTCTAGTACTAGATCGACGATCTACGAGAGTACGAGTCGCTCGGGAGGTGAGGCGACGACGCTTTCTAAGACGTAAATATAGACGCTTCCCGAGTTACTACTCTAACCGCTACTCGCTAGACTCGACTAGTTTATAAACGAGATTAAGAACGTAAAGCGATCGACCCCGCGGGAGGAGATTAATAGAGTCGTCGTAATAATCAAGAAGGATAAGAAGAGACGTAGTCTAGGGAGAGGTTACGATAGCGCCTATAGAAGAGGGGACGAGAGCGTCTCGAGAGTAGTTATCCCGTCGCGATTAGCGGTCGGCCGCGTAGGGGTGATAAAGTCGCCCGCTAATATAGCGAATAGTTAGATCGCGCTTAAGGGCGCCGCTCGCGCGACGGTCGTAAGCTAGAGGACCGATCCTTTATAGAGATTATAGCGTTAGTTCTCCCCCCGATAGCGCTCGTACGGCTACTCGTCGAGATAGTCTACGAGAGTCTACCGCTAATAGACCGTATGGAGGATTAGATCGTAGAGCGCTTACCGGTCGGGTACCGCCGCGCCCGTACTAGAGTCGATAGTCGTCGCCGTACGCGCTAGCCGCTATTAATCCCGAGAGATAATAAGAAGCGTATAGCGGCCGAGCTTACTCGGCTATCGGTAGAGTCGCCCCGCCTACTAGACGACTATAACCGCGTCGAAACCGTCCCTAACGATTACGATATAGTCCACCTCCGCGTCCTATCCGTAACCGAGGGCGATAGTCGCGAGGAGAGTAGCGATATCGGCCGCGATAAAGTCACTTAATAGGGCCGCTCGCGTAGAGATATTAAGATCTCTCTAGTAGAAGAGTAGGTCTAGTGCCCTAGCGACCGTATAGCTCTTACTCTTCGATATTATATATACGAGCGTATAAGCGGCCGGCCTCTTTAGGATCTCGCGCCGGAGGTAGATAATAAGCCCGCTCTCGTTATAGTAGTGGACCTCCTATCGGATCCTCGGGACGTTATATAACTAGCGTACCGTATAGAGCCGGATCGGGTCGATCTAAGCCGTCGCGAAGAGGAGAGTCTAGATATTAGTCGGGACCGTTACGGAGAGGAAGACGCGAGAGACCCCGAGAGAGTAGGTCTTAATAATATCTAGCTAGGGGCGAAACCTCTCTTAGATCTCGAGAACTACTAGATACGCTTCGTTATAGATAATCTAGGCGAGATAACCGTAGCTCGCGAGATATCCTATAAGTACGCGGAACTATAAGTCGCTAATCTAAGTCTCTAGAACGATAATTAGAACGTTAACGACCCGCTATATATAGTCCGGCGCGCTTACCGAGTCTATATTAATCCTCCGCCTCCGGAGGCGGATTACTAGCTAGTTATAGATACTATAGTAGAGGACGATAACTATTATAGTCTCTCTCGACCGTAGGATAACGGTAAGTTTAATAACTATTATCTTCCCGACCCCGGTAGAGAGCTAGACTAAGAGATCGGTCCCTAAGGGTCGGTATATTAGACTCTCGACCGCCTATTACTAGGCGAGCGACTACTAGTAAAAGGAGAGATACTAGACACTAAGTTTCGTCCGGATAAATCCCTATCGGTTATAAGTCGAGATCGCGAGAGTCGGCTCCTTAAGAGAGTCTTAAGACTCGCGCGAGAGCGGGAGAATATCGCGATAGAGACGCTTTACTAGAGCTCTCTTATCCTTATTCGCCGTCTCCTCTCCTTTTATCTTTATATTATCGTTAATTACGTCCTATTCGCGCTTAAGAGAGGCGATATCGTAACGGATCTCCTAGAGGAGATCGCGTACCGTAACTATCTAGTCGGATAGGTATCGCGTTTTCTTCGCCCGAGCTCCGCGTTTTAGGTCGCTATCGAGACTCGTTACGAGAAGGTCCGGATCCGCGACCCTAAGCTAGCGGTACTAGGCGAGCGAGATACGGAGAAAGATATAAGCGACGATATTAGTAAACTAGTAGAGAACGTCTATATTAAGGGCGTAGTAATAGATCTCTACCTTCCGAGTATAACCGGTCTAGAGAGTTAGGTTATCGATCTCGATTCGCGCGCTCTTCTTATCTTTACTCTCGGCCGTCGCGTTAGAGTTATTATTATTCTAACTCTCCTCCGCCCGCCCGCGCGTTACGTTCTAGAGAAGCGCGACGTAAATCTAGCGAAAGATACGGATCCCGAACGATACTCTTAGATAACGCTAGGTTAAGGCCTAGAGGAGAGGAGTAAAGTATTTAGCTATCTATAGCCGCCCGTCTATATACTAGACTAGAGCGGTCTAGGCGTAGAGGTTGGGTATCTTATAGAGCTTATAGAGGAGATAATAGAAGGATAGGACCTTAGCGATATAGACTATTATTATCCGCCTAATCCGTCGTAGATAGTACCGACTAATTATACGCGAGCGCTTCGTCCGCGTCTCTATCTTATTAGCGTCGTAGAGGAAGAGTAGATATCGCGCCTTAATATAAAAGGACCGTATCGCTCTCTAGATATTAGTCTAGAGAGCCGAGATTAGCTCTAGAACGCGCGAGTCTCTACCCCCCCTAAGGAGAAAGAGAAGACTAAGATAACGTAGGAACTCGCCCCGACTAGCGCGGAAGCGGACGAGAGTCTACTATCGCGCCGCTAGCGGTCGACGCTAGAGCTTATACTAGCGGAGAGCGGAGTCCTTACGCGCGCGGCGGATAGCGTTCTCCAGTCGCGCGCCTAGGCGGTCTAGGTTCTAGTCGACTATCGACTCTCCGTTAGTCTACTAGATTAGGTTATCGGTTAGATAAGCCGGGTCTAGAGCGTCAAGCTCAGTCGCCGCGGCGCCCCTAAGGAGGTTATATAGGAGGATCTTCTCGGTCTCGTTAATTAGGGTATAGATCTAGGCGCGGACGTTAGCGACGGCGATCCGCTAGTTCTCGTACTATAGTTAGGTTCGGTCCGGCTCCTAGTGGATTATAGAGTAATTATAGAAGTGACGAGCGACTCTTATAGCGTATATACGCTAGCTAAATACCTTATTAAATACGCGCGGTCGGCCTAGGTAGAGATACTCGGTGTAGTATCACTAGAGGAGAGCGATAATATCCGGCGCGTTACCGTCCGCCTAGCGAAAGATATACTCTAGCGCTAGTACGCGAATAACGAAGATTATCTTACTTAGGATAGGGTTATACGCCTCGGCTATCTTCTAGATATAGATAGCGACGCTCTACCCTTCGATCGCGAGAAAGTAGAGAAGGAGACTCGTCTCGCGGCCCTAGTCTACTATCTATTCGAGGACGAGACGCGAGACGAGTAGAATCTAGTCGCCCGCGGTAGTCCGGGAGGGAGTCGTCGGGATTATATCCGTCTTCTCCTCCGAGAGGGGCGATATCTAGGCGAGCCGGCCGAGAATCTCCTAGAGAGCGGGGATAAGGATAATCCGAAACTAATAACGCTACTTATTATCCTAGAGAGCTACGCGGATAAGGAAGAGAATAAACCTCTCTTAGACGATTAAGTAATACTAGATCCCGGTCTAGAGACGACTAAGAGAGACGTAGTTAGTATCGCCCTCTACCGCGTAGAGAGCGCGACGGAGAAGGGTCCCGTTAGTCTACGTATAGGTAGTCGCGAGCTAGTCATCGTACTAATAGAGGAGTGTCCGTATCTTATCGCGGACTACGGCGACCGGGAAGATATTGGTTAGGCCCGGCACTAGACTAATAAGCGGCTAGAGGACGGTCTAGTTAAGGTCGCTAAAGGTCGCGGTCTAGTCCGTACGCTACTTCTAGAGACTCTCGCGTCCGTTAACGGGCGGTTATATAATCAACTATTCCTCCTAGTAACGTTTAAGTTACTATACTAGTCGGTTAAGGACTATCTAGAGCGGCCGCTCCTACTTCTTAGTCGTCTTCGTGACGACGCGAGAGATAGCGGTTAGCGACCGCTCAACGATAAAGAGATAGTAAAGAGAGCTCTAGAGATAGGATACGTAGTACGCTTAGAGCTTAAGAATAAGAGTTAGATAGCGCTCCTTAATCTCCCGCTAGATAATAGCGTTATTCGAACTAATAGTATACCCGTCCTATAGATAACGAAAGTTAAGGAGATAGAGGAGATACTTATAGTAGTCTCGCGCCTTCGCCGTTACCTCCCTATCGTTATCGTCGACTATAAGATACTATCGCTAGATAAACTCGCGATAGATAACCCGACGGTCCTTAACCGTTATTAGACTAGTATAATAGATATATAGATAATTTTCGATTAAAGTCTTCTCGGCGGAGATACTCTTCCGGTAGAGCGTATATATTACTATATTTCGGGTTAATTTATAGTAGAGAGAGTATTTCCGCCTACTAGAGAGGCGTCTCTCTAGTATTAATATCTTAAGAAGAGAGCGATTATAGATTAGAGAGAGCGATAATAGCGAAAGAGGCGACTAATAGAAGGAAAGTAAAGATAGAGAGAAGAAGAGATATAATCGAGAGAGAGAAGGAGAGAGAGAGAAGACCTTATTTATATACTTAAAGAGCTATCGGTCGGACTCGATATATATATAGAGATTAATCTAGAACTAGATCGAATAGTCCTTTTCTCTAACCGAGAGATTAATATTACGAGAGATTCTAGTATTATAGATAATTATTTAAATAATCTTATATATCGCGTATTTCTCGAAAGATAATAAGTAATCTTTTACTCTCGAGAAGAAGAGAAGTATATATCGGGCGAGAGTTAGGACTTCTAACGTTCCCGGATCTCTAAATCTATATTTATAATAAAGAGAGAGTTATAAGAATCTAATACTTACTAGTATCTCGAGAGACGAGAGAAGGTTAAGTATATATTAACTATAAGCGCGGTATTACTTATAACGCGATTAGCGTTAATTCTAGAAGACCGCCCTAAATTACCTATTAAACTATATTAACTTAAGAATCGCGTAAGAGTTAACTCTTAGATTAGATAAGGAAGGAGAGAGACGGTCGTAAGATATAAGACGGTCTACCCGAGCGAGATTAGATTTTATCGAGATTAAGAGTCTAATACGATTAAGAGAGAGTCTAATATTATAAGTTTAGATTATTCTTACTCTTAATATAAGAAGAAGACCGATAGTAGAGCTTTTATTATTATCCGACTATCTATATATAATCTAGCTCTTATTCTAGACGGTCGCGAGAGAAGAGCGAGATATTTCCTATCGGTACTCGGACTAGAGTTTATAGATTAAGTTAGTCTAGACTAGATTAACGCTAGAGACGGATTAGAGAACCGATCGATAAGAGGAAAATCTACGCCTTATAAGAATCTAGCGATATATTACTACTTAAAAGCTTACTTCTCGTCTCTCGATCGATATCGTATTAACGGTCCCGATCCGTATAATAAGGAGCGAGAAGCGTACCGTAGGTAGAATCTCCTCCCTTATAATCTATCTATAATCTATAAATATATAACGGAGAGATAAGCTCTCTTCTTAAGTAAAACTACGTCTAATTTCCTCGAGAGCGACTAGTTTAACGACTAAAGCGTTATAGAGTTAGTTCTCTTAGAGTCGCGCGTAATCTTCTCTATTCGACTAGAAGTAGGTCTATATTATTCCTAGTAATAGTTCTCTTAACGTCTCTTTACTATTTCTATATCTCCTATCTATCCCTCCGCGACCGAGAGAATTTAAGACGGTATAACGGGTACCGAGGAAATCTCTTATTCCCGAATTGTCTAGGATTATATCGGTTACGATCTAAAGCGGATATTAGATAGTATAATCTCTAACGTAGCGAGTACTAGAGTAAGTCTTCGAAT